CTCCCTTCTCTCTCTCCTCCCGACCCTCGCCTCCTTCCTTCCTCCCTCCTCTCCCTTCCATCTCCTCCCTAGAGACCAACTCAGCACTGGACAATCTGTTAGACCCTAGCCAGCCAGCCAGCTTCCAGTGCTTTCACGTATATTGCTTGAAGACACAGTGTGAACCCTGGTCTCTCTCTCTCTCTCTCTCTCTGCGCACGCCAGAGGAATTATTCCTTCCCACAAAGTATATCTTGCATCGATATAGACGTTACTATATAATGATGGTTCACCTGTGCACCACCACCAGACTCCGTGCACAGGACCACATTAGTCTCATTGTAAGATCAAAGCCTCAGCTAGAGGCCAAAGATCAGATGTATTATAACAGATTTGATTTTCAGATTTGCCCGCGAGACTGTTTATTAGGCACACCCTTGCATCCTGTGCAAGGCAAGCGTTCTAGCGTCCAACAGGGAAGCATGCGGAGTTCAGGGTTGCCTTCTTGACTCACCATTAAGGGCGCAAGTGCCTGAAAGGCCATGGATTATGTCGGCGAGTTACATGTAGTGACAGCATGAGGTGTGGGTGTATTAAGGTTGAGGTCAGAGGTCAAATGTGCTATAAGAGTGTACTAGAGTCGAGCTAGAGGTCAAAGGTCAGATGTGCTATAACGTGTATTAAAGGTTACTGCTACAGACCAGGGAATCAGATGGGTTTCAGATTTTTCAAATTTGTCCCGCGAGGGAACTGGTTTATTGAAGTCAGCGCTAGAGGTCAGAGGTCCACCACACTCCTTCCCAGTCGTGGGTGTTGTTATGTTATGTGGTGATTTTCTTCAGGTAGCATACAGTATATATCAGGTTCAGCCATGTTAATATTGTTTTTATGTTGTACTATACTTTGTATCTGGATCGATCATTCTGGCTATTCGTTTAAAATTTTATTTGTTTACAGAGTTCAATAATAGTCAGTCTCCTGTGTTGATATTATCTTCTCCAGACTATATACGACCTTTACTTCCTCTAGATATATTTTATACATCCTACAACACGATGACTCATACTGCTGGTCCAGTAGTCATTATAAAAGTGAGGACAAACTGGTGAACGAGTCCTTCCTGTGTTTTTCACCTGGCAATTTATGAACTGTCTTGGAGTCGGAGTGCTTAAAGGCTTCTCCGGCAGTTCCCAAATACATCTCAAGATAATAAGAGGGTCAGTGTTGTGTATGTGAAGTTTTTGGGCAGAATTGATTCCAGCTTTGATATGTAACGTCCTTGATAATGTTATAACCAGGGGTGAGTTACAAATACCCCAAACAGTACACAGTATCATCGCGGGCGGAGGAGGAGGGTCCTTGTCTTAAACAAAATATTCATATCCATCTAACTTATTCGTGTTCCAAGCGATACTTACATTACGTGCTTACTGAAGGTCCTCTAGTCCTACATTACTCTCCCAAGGTCCTCTGGCCTCCCACAAAACAATTTAATCGAGTCATATTATTCCGTCTATGTTTGTTCCTTCATTGTTGTCGTAACGAAGGAATCTGAGTCCATCTCTTCTCGATTGAACATCTTGCTACTCTCGTTCGTTATGCTGCCGGCGTGAGACATGTGGCGGAAGTCTGGAATACCGTAGTGTGGAGATTTAAATATGATATATATATATATATATATATATATATATATATATATATATATATATAATTGTGTTCCTGTTCTGTAGCCTGTAATTTACTATGATTCCTGTAGAATTTTAATCCCCCCCCTCCTCATATTTTTATCTTACGGTGTAGTGGTGTATAGGTTAGGTTAGGTTAGGTTAGGTTAGGTTGGTTAGTAGCCGAATTCTATTGCACTGGAGAAATTTATTTATGGAATTAGAGGCTCTATTACACACACTACCGGGGCTCTATCAGGAGGGCCGGACACTGACCTCCTTCCGGTCCCCTAACTTGCCGTAATCAAGGGCCACGACGACAGGCTGGCTATCCCTCTCTCTCCCTACCCCCCACCAGACCACCCGCTCCTCCCACCCCCACCGCTCCTCCCACCCCACCCGCTCCTCCCCCACCCGCTCCTCCCCACCCCACCCCCTCCCACCGCTCCTCCCACCCCATCCGTCCCCACCCCACCCATCCGTCCCCACCCACCACCCATCCCCCCTAGGCCTTACCGGAAGTGCTCCACTTATTGATCTGGTCAGCCCATCTCCCCTACCTGGTTCCCTCCTCCACCTGGCTAAACCCACCTCCCACCTGGCTAACCCACCTCCCCCACCTGGTTAAACCCACCTCCCCCTAACCAGCCAAACCCCACCCCCCACCTAACCAGCCAAACCCACCTCCAACACCTAACCAGCCAAAAGCCCACCTCCCCAAAGCTAACCAGCCCCACCCCCCACATCCCTAGTTAGTGTGATATATATACAGTACATTACACTAAATAGGATAATCGTCCACTAACCTGAAAACCCTACTGACCATTTTTCTTCAATAGGTATAACTCTTGTGTTTATCGCTGTGTGTGGCGGAAAATAGCTGGTATATGTTTGTTATTTGTTCTGTTTTATTGAAGACGTCATTTACCATCATAACCAAACCAAATTATATATATAAATTAGGTTGGGTTGGATTAAGTTAGGTCGGGTTGGGTTATGTTAGGTTGGGTTGGAGTTGAGTTGGGTTGGGACAGGTTGGTTGGGTTAGGTCGGGTTGAGTTAGAGAAGGTTAGATTAGGTTGGGTTAGGATGGTTGGGTTAGGATTAAATTAGGTTAGTAATGATGCTTTTAACGTATATTTTTGTATTATAATTATATGCGTTATCGTCCCTCTATAAACAAGCAGTTGAAATATTATCACAATTTCAGTAGTATTCCCCTAAACGTATGCTATATATATATACAGTATATACCACCATACATTAATCATTATACATCACTGTTTCCTCTTAAGTTGTCGCTATCAGCCCAGAACACAATAAGATATGTGAGCATCATTATATCAGTCTCTCCTTTATGATGAAAGCCTCGTGACTCTCAGCTTCATTAGGACACGTGCCAAGTTCTCCCTCCACTCTCTTGTTTTCCTTCTCGTTCTTTTTCTCCTTGAAGCTAGATGGGCCCCAGTGCTGATGGTCGCAGTATTGATATCTTAGTGCTAATGGGCCCCTAGTTCTGTTGGGCCCCAGTGCTGATGGGTCATAGTATTGATATCTTAGTGCTAATGGGCCCCTAGTTCTGTTGGGCCCCAGTGCTGATGGTCATATATATCTCCAGTGCTAATGGGCCTAGTTCTGTTGGGCCCCAGTGCTGATGGGTCATAGTATTGTTCTCAAGGCCCAGTTCTGTTGGTGCTGATGGGTCATAGTATTGATATCTCAGTGCTAATGGGCCCCAGTTCTGTTGGGCCCCGGTGCTGATGGGTCATAGTATTGATATCTCAGTGCTAATGGGCCCTAGTTCTGTTGGGCCCCGGTGCTGATGGGTCATAGTATTGATATCTCATATGGCCCTAGTTCTTTCGTGCTGATAGTATTGATATCTCAGCTAATGGGGCCCCAGTTCTGTTGGGCCCCAGTGCTGATGGGTCGTAGTATTGCTATCTCAGTGCTAATGGGCCCCAGTTCTGTTGGGCCCCAGTGCTGATGGGTCATAGTATTGATATCTCAGTGCTAATGGGCCCTAGTTCTGTTGGGCCCCGGTGCTGATGGGTCATAGTATTGATATCTCAGTGCTAATGGGCCCTAGTTCTGTTGGGCCCCAGTGCTGATGGGTCATAGTATTGATATCTCAGTGCTAATGGGCCCTAGTTCTGTTGGGCCCCGGTGCTGATGGGTCATAGTATTGATATCTCAGTGCTAATGGGCCCTAGTTCTGTTGGGCCCCAGTGCTGATGGGTCATAGTATTGATATCTCAGTGCTAATGGACCCCAGTTCTGTTGGGCCCCAGTGCTGATGGGTCATAGTATTGATATCTCAGTGCTAATGGGCCCTAGTTCTGTTGGACCCGGTACTAATGAGCTATAGTGTTAAGGGACCCCCAGTTCTGTTAGTCACCAGATGTAATGGATCCGAATTATGATAATCCCCAGTCCTAATGGAATCCACTACTGATAAGTTCCATTCCTAATAGGCCTTAGTCATAACACTGCCTAGGCCTAATACACCCTAACTATAATTGGCCATAACGTAGAGCACTAGTAATAGGGGTCAATTTGGTCTTAAGCTTCAGTGTTAATGATTAGGTTCAATTGGGCCCTATTAGCACTGGGGCCTATTTTCCTCCGTCGCCCAATCATCTTGCGTGAAGGAACCAGTGCCATGAACAATTGACTGACCAGGTAGACGTTCATACCTGAGAGGTGTTAATTAAAGGAGAAAGATAAGACGATATGATGAATAGATACAAATATTACTGACTTATCCTTCCTGTTTCTTCTTCTTACTTAAGTCTCTTCTCATCTTCTCTGCTTTATTCAGTATCTCTCTTTTCATTGAGGTTTCTATAATTCCTTGATCCACTCTATACAAAAGAGGCAAACGAGTTCAGATAAGATGTAAATAGATGGGTAGATAGATAAAACACACACACACACACACACACACACACACACACACACACACACACACACACACAAATAAATAGATAGGATTTGTCTTAGAAATGTATCAATTAGATTTATACACAATTATACTTCTGAATGCATTATTAATACTTTATCTTATTTACAGGTACGTGTGTGTGTGTATACAAAGGCTGGTCAACTCTCACCTGGGCAAGTATGGTACCAACTCTCCTCCTCTCATTGGCTGATACACCTGTGGTTCACCTGTGGACGTTACGGATCCTTAAAATCTCGTATGTTCAGTTTTCCTCGTAACCTGGTGAAGGGTGGACGCGTCTCGTGGGGCTCTTATTGGGTATGGTGTAAAGATGGTGGTCAAAATGGCGTCGAAATTGCGCTCAGACTTGACCCGAACCAAGAGGCGTACTTTTGTCAGCTCTTTGACTCTAG